CGATCCGTCCGCGGTACCTTGTCCCGAGCGGCGCCGGGCTCTTCCGGCTGACCCGAGAGCAGCCGGGGAAGCCCAAATCGCCGGGTACCCTCCTGGCGCCGGCACCTTCTCCCTCTGGCCTTGAGTCAGCCGGCTGTGGGCGGACATCCCCGGCACCGGGGCTCCCGAGCCTCTGACTCAGGCTGTGCCGGGCGGCTGCTGCGCTTTCTGGGTGTCCCGTCCTGTCGTCATTGTCTGTCCCGTCGTCCTCCCCCTCCGCGATCTGGGTTTTAAAGGGAAGGGCTGCATCCATCGAGGCAGATGATGCAGATGGGTTACGGGAAGCGTGGATATTTGAGTGACCTAAATATGATGGGCTTGTATAATTGCCCGGTGGTCCCGGGCTGCCTGCCAGGGTCAGTTGTGATATTCAGTGCAGGTAGGGATATCAAGGGAGTTTAATCGACACGTGGCGTTTGTTGCAGCCGTTGCAGAAACGACAGAGAACCGTGGAGGATTTCAACCAGTTCTGCACCTTTGTTTTGGCCTACGCGGGCTACATCCCCTACCCTGAGGAGGTAAGTGGGCTTGTGAGGTGTTCCTCTACAAAAAGACTGGCTCCTCTGGGCTACCTGCTACGTGCAGACCCAGTTCCTAATTCTTCTCCTGGAGAGTCTTTCTCCATCCCCAGCTCCTTCCTCCTTACCCTGAATGTCTGCGCTGTGGCCTCCCATGCTAGTCCTGCATCTTCCCCTCTTGCAGAATGAGCCCTGGACCCACGGAGGCAGCATGAGTCCCCAGAACAGCACGGGGAGCACTCAGGACAGCGATAGCTGGGCCTCGTCCCACTCCTCCGACTGCCACATCCTGACAGATGATGGGAGGAGCAGGAACGCTGTGGCCAGGGGGGCTGCGGACAACAGCCTGCTTGTGAGCTGCCCTGCCTTCCCCACCAGCTTCTACGATGTCCGACCCCAGCAAACCAAACGGAAGAAACCACCAGCAAAGAAACTCATTTTGGAGCAGGAGGTGGAGAAGAGGGTGCCGCTGAGCACTGGGAAGGGCTTCGGGGCAGAGCAGGACGGGGTGAAGGAGCTGGCTGCACTGGAGGGACAGGTGTCTCCCATGAAAGAGCAGCTCTTGGAGCCTTCCCTCAACCCGGCTGGGGACCCCCAGCCCAACTCCCTCCTGGAGGAGCTGATGAAGGAGGAGAAGGACTGGGTGCACGGAGTGCAGGAGACCGAGAAGCCAGCAGGAGACAATCCTCAGCTACAGGAGCATGAACCCTGCTCTGGAGGGAGAAAAAGCCCCAATTCTTGTAGTACCTTGGACCAAAGCGAAGGGGAAGATGCAAGCAGAGGGAGCTCCCAGCTTAGTGGTGAGTGTCCGAGAGAGTGCAGAGGGCCCTGCTGTGCTGCGGCCAGTGCTGAATATTGTCCCTCTGTCAGCTGGAGCCACCTGTGGCTGGCTGCAGGGAGGGTTTGTCGATGCCCGAGCCTCTCCCAGCCAGGGGACTACCTTCAGTACCTGGGAGGACTGAAGAGCAGAGGGCAGGGAGCTGGCTTGCCCCTGGCAGCTCTGTTCTGCAGAGCGAGTGGTACAAACCCGAAACGTGTCTGAAGTGGGGTGTAGGGTCACCTTGCTCATCTGGTCTTTATTTTTTTTTTCTCTTCCCCCCCACCTTTTGCAACTTTAGCAGTCGAATTCGCAGCAGCTCCCAATACCAAAGCAGAAGGTGAGTGAGGGGCTCTCCCATTTCACACTGGTGGAACTGGCTAAACTTGCCATAGTCTGCCCACAGCCGGACCAGCAACTGGTAAGGTGTTTTCTGACCAGTGTCTGTCTCTCCCTGACCAGACGACGATGCCTGGGATCTGATCACCTGCTTCTGCCTGAAGCCCTTCGCAGGGAGGCCCATGATCGAATGTAACGAATGCGCTACCTGGATCCACCTCTCTTGTGCCAAGATCCGCAAATCCAACGTGCCTGAGGTTTTCATCTGCCAGCGATGCCGCGATGCCAAGCAGGAGATTCGCCGCTCGAACCGAGCTCGGACGGTGCCCCGCAAACGCTTCTGTGACTGAAGCTCCTCCAGAGCAGGGAGGCCGGGGGTCCCCTTTTTAAACCGAAGACTGTAGCCCAGTTTGGCTAGACAATCAATGCACAGTAGTGGCAGGGGAGGGGCTGGGCTGCGGGGCTGGACTGTCCCCCTTGCACTTCTGACTCCTGGAAGCTGCCACGCACGTCCTCCCTGGGAGGCGTGTTGGCCATGGAGCTCGGTTACCCCAGAGGTGTGGGGGGGAGAGGAGGGTGGTCCAGCTGCACACTAGGTTGCTCTGAAACATCTCTGTCCTCGCACAAAGCTGGCTCAGTGCCTTTCCCCCCCGGGCAGCCGAGGAGAACCTAGTCCTAGTAGTTTTTCTGTGGTGTGGTGGAAGCTTACACTTATCCCAAGATGTGACTCCCCTTCCTCCTTTTTCCTCACCATTTTCCCTTCCTTGCCTCAGACCTTGGGGCAGGCTGTGATGGCAAAGCCCTGCTGACTCAAGTTTTCCTCCAGCAAGTAGGTGCAGCCCAGGCGAGCTCCCTCCGTGTGGTGTTCCGCTCTCCAGGGCGGGAGGGGAGGGGACATCGGTCCTGCTGACACCTGCAGCAGACTGGGGCTCTTTGTCTTGGGGCTGTTGGTGGAGCCGTCCATCTCTGGCTTATCAGCCTTGTAGGCTGCACAGGGGAGGTCCTTCCCCTGACCTGTGGTGCTCCTGGTTTCATCTGTTGTGCCCACAGCCCCAGGATAGTCCTGTTGAGTCAGGAGCAGCAAAGGCATCCTCTAGTAGATTATTAGTGTTCTTGCCAAGCAGCCCTACTCGGTTCATGTTCTCCAGGTGCAGTGAGGATTCCTGTGTGAAGAGGGGTGGGATTCCTGGTAGGAGACTGCAGTTACCCCCAGAGCTGGCCGTGGCAGGGCTGGGAGCCCTTCAGAAGGGGAGCAGGAGAGTGCTCTGGTTAGCTTTCCATGTTTTCTACCTTCAGTTTAAAACAAGTGAAGCTTTTAACCTGTGGCCTTCTGCCTGCAGGGCTGTCTGGTGGAGCATCTGCTTCAACACCAGCCAGATGCTGAGACCTGAGCTCAGATGGAGCGAGGAGCTGGGTGGGCCTTCCTTCCCAGCACTCCCTCCATCACAGAAGTTGGTTTTTTTCCTAGAAATAGAGAGTGAAGCCAAATGACTTGTCAAGAGTGGGCCCTGAGCCCCTTCTGCTATGCAACTGCTGCTCTGGAGACACGGGACATGGTCTCTCCAGGCTGCTGATTAAGTTTGGAAGTGGAAGGCTTCCCCCCCACCCCCCGTGTCCCCTGTGTGCGGTGTGTGTGTGATCTCCTGGGGCCCCACGTGCACTAACTGTTGGATCCCACCTCCTCTTCACAGCCCTTCCAAAGAGCCTGGCCCGCGTGCCTTCTGCACTTTCCCTGGGGGACGCAGACCCACTCCTGTCCCGGTGACACTCGGTCCCCAGCGTGCCACTGCCCACAGCAGGGAGTGGGGCAGCCCCCGCTTGCCTGTCCCCATGACTATAGTTCTTAACTGGGTTCTTTCCTACTTGCACATCTGGTTACTGTGGGACCACAGCTGGGGAAAGGTGCAGGGCAGCCCCCTGTCACTCAGCAGTCCCCAGGCTCGTCCCTGTGCCTCTCTCCTCCTGTGGAAAGCCTGGGCCCCTAAAGTAAGTGCTTTATGTTTTTATAGTTACTTTGTATTGATATGTAAAATAGCGAATTCTGGTCCTTGCCCTGTGGAGTGTGGCTGGAGTCTTATGTATATAATAAAGTACTTTTGCCATAATGGTGATGGCTTTCGCATAGTTTGGTGGCTCTGGGTCTCGTGTCTGGGACCCGAGTACTCCCCTGCTTCCCTCCTCCTGAGGGACCTGGTGTGGGGATCCCACTCAGCCCTGCTACACACCCCCCCCAGGTAAACAAGCTGGACAAACAACAGGGAACGAGCAGGCCAGCACATCTTGTATTTAATAGCGCGATGACCCCCTCCCCACCCTGCTGAAGCACACAGAGGTGCTCCACAGGAAGGTCCTCTGGAAGTGCATGGGCCAGGGACAACCTCTTCGATGGGCACCATCTTCCTGAGGCTGCAGCCAACTCATCATCGTGGGTTACTCCAACGCAGCAGCGGGCCTGATGGGGAGGAAGGGTGTCCACGCACCATTGCTGTGACTCTTAAGGCACATCACCATCTAGCTCAAAGCCGTGTTCTGCTCTTGGGCTCTGACAAACCTTTCCTGGCTCTGTCTCCACTCCGGAGTGGAGTTAACAATTCAGTCCTGACAGCAGTTGAGGTACAAAAAGATCCAGTTTTCTCCACAAAATAAGTCTGTTACTCCAGTACAAAGGTATCACTACTAGCTTCCTCTGCAGATCTGGAGGTGTGCCAGCTTCCATCAGGGGCTGTGGTGAGGGGGACAGGACAAGAAGGCACTGGGGGCTGAGCACTGGCCTGCCTGGGGCAGGAGAAAGTCACTGTTTTTGGGGACCCTTACCAAAGAAGGGTCCTGCTGGTATGTTTCAGTCCCGAGGCAGATGCATTGGGGGAGGCAGCGAATGGTCCAAGAACAGCAGCAAAACCAGGCATAACTTCTATGCTAGGGGCCAAAGCTGGGTTTGTGCGGCCAAGCAAGCATCCAGGTGAGCGAGGTGGGGGTCTACTCCTCCTTGGCCCAGGCAGAGCCACCTGCCTTCTCCTCCAGGTGGGGAATCACCGCCTCCGTGTAAAACTTCTCCAGCTTGGGCACTGTCTGCCCCCAGAACTCGGCATCGAACTCCACAGGGACCACGGCCGTCTCCTTGGTGGTATGCACCACAAAGTCGGCCTGCTTGAAGCCAGTGGCTGCCAGCTGGCACTGGACCTGGGTGAAGTAGGCGTGATCCCTCTTCAGGGCATAGGAATCCCCATCCACCTCCAGGCAGAAGTCCTTGTCCTTGCAGGCCTCGCGCACCGTCCTGTTCCTGTGCTTGTAGGGACACTTCACCTCCAGCAGCCCCAGGGCTTTCCCTGTGGCCGCCTCTGTGATGATGCCATCTGGGCTGGCAGCAATCCACTCCTTCTCCCGGTGAATGAAGAGGCCACAGTCCTCCACCTGCACTGGCTTGCCCACCGCTTGCGACTTCAGCTGCTCATAGGCCCGCACGGCCACCTTCTCATTGCGGATTCCCCAGGACATGGCCGGTGTCTGCACACTGGGGCTGGAGCTCACCACTGCTTTCAGGTAGGACTGGGGCACCTCGGCCGTCTTGCCGTTGGCAAACTTGCTGTTGGCGATCCTGGAGGCCACGGAGGCGGTGATGCGGTCCCCCCGCCACTCGTACCACTTGGGGTTGCTCCGCTGGCCCCGCGTCTCCTTCTCCACCCATGGGATGTCCTGGCTTTCCAGGGGAGGCAGGAACTGGCCCCAGGTCCGGCTTGGGTCAGCCCCAGGCTGCTTCTTCTGCAGACGTGGTTCAGGTCTGGCCAGACCAGTGGCTCCTTTGGCATCAGATGGCTGCTTCTTCGTTGCAGAGCAATTGCTGGCAGATGCTCTGTGCT